CCTGGTCCAAAGTCAGGGTGTCTCCACTCACTCCATCAGAAGATGGACTCCTGTTTTCTGTTGTTGAGAGCATCATCTCTTATGCCGTCATCTGCTGGGGCAGCAGCATCAGAGCCAGGAACTAAAAGGGCTCAACAGTCTGATAAAAGAAGACTGGTTCTTTTCTGGGGACGACTGTGGAATCTCTGGAGATGATCATGCAGAGAAGGATTCTTCATAGGATCAAGAAAATTATGGACAATTCTGACCATCCTCTTCACAAGACTATCTTGGGAAGGCAGTGCATCTTCAGTCAGGGGTTTCTTCAGATTCAGTGCAGTACAGACTGGCGCAGAAGATCTTTCCTGCCAACAGCCATAACCATCTTCAATAACTCTTTGAAGAATCTAAATTAATGAGTTACGACATTTAATTTCCCTTTGGGATTAATTAAGTATTTTTGAATTTGTATTTGAATTTGAATAACTTTTTCAATAGGTTTAGCTATTATGCTACACCCACCACCATCACTACATACTCTGCCCCAGTGCTATCCTCCAGTGCATCCTCCTCCTTGCCAGCAGGTGCAGTCATTCCACCACCATGACCCTCTCCCCTCAATTCTATCCCAAAACAGCCCCCTGACCCAACCTCTTCCCCCAAGGCAGCTTAGTATCCCCTCTTCTCTCTCTCCTCACAGCCTCCTCCATGCCTTACAGCTGATCAAATGAGGACAGAATTGAGGAAGCTTCGACCTCGAAAAGCTGCAGGACAGAGTATCCCCTCAGATTCTCAAGATCTGTGCTGTCGACCTTGGGGAGCCATTACAACAAGTCTTCAGATTGAGCCCGCAACTTGGAAGCATGCCCACACTCAGGGACAGGAATGTTGTATGATGTCTTCTAAAGAAGAACAGGCCCAGTGAGCTGAATGACATCAAACTGATGGCACACATCACATCTGAAAACTCTGGAGAGGCTCTTCCTCATCCACCTCAGAATGCATGTAAAGCATGCTGAAGACCCTCAGCAGTTTGCCTACCGGGGAGAGGTTGGAATGGAGGATGCCATTATCTACCTCCATCGAGCCCACTCGCACCTGAACAAGGGAAGTGGCACCGTCACAATTCCATGCCTGGATTTTTTGAGTGCCTTTATTACAATCCAGCCCTCTGCACTTCAGGAAAAACTTACCAGAATAAGAGTGGATTCCTGCCTGGTCACCTGGATTTCCAGCTACAGACAGACGACAGTAGTGAAGATGAATAACATTACATCTGAAACTGTGGTCAGCAACACTGGAGCCCCACAGGGGGCGGTGCTGTCACCCATCCTCTTCAACCTGTATATTTCAGACTTGTGTTACAACTCTGAATCGTGTCCAGATGTACGCCAATGACACAGCGTACATTCGTCTTTGATGCCATCATGGGGTGCATCAAAGACAAAGTGAGGGACTTTGTTGTCTGGTGCCATAGAAACAGCCTGCAGTTAAACACTTCCAAGATGAAGTGGTTATTGGCTTCAGGACCAGCTGGTCCAAGACCAGTTCGGATAGGAGGGGAGGAGGCGGAGGTTGTACAGACCTATAAATATCTTAGTCTGTGGCTGGACAACAAGCAACACAAAACAGCTCTATAAGAAAGGCCAGACCAGGATGTATTACCTGCAGAGGCTGAGATCTTTTAACATCTGTGGAAAGCTGCTGGGATTGTTTTACAAGTGTGTTGTCACCAGCGTCTTGTTATACGCTGAGGTGTACTGGCGTGGCGGTATCTCTAAGGCAGACCATTCCAAGCTGGAGAAACAAATTAGATCTGTTGGCTCAGTGGGCGGCACACCCACCGAGCCAACCACGGAGTTCAGTGGCTGGCTGACACTCTGCCTCTGGCAACAGTGGCAGAGAGGAGAACATTGCAGAAACTCAAGGCTATTATCAATCAAAAATTGAATTTTATTTGTATAGCACATTTCAGCAGCAAGGCATTTCAAAGTGCTTTACATCATGTAACAAGGTGGCCTTTTGCAGCTCTCAGCATCAACAACCAATCATTTCACAGGTGAAACTGCAGGCTTAAATAGTCCCAGCTGTGACAGACCAAACCGCTTCCAATTCACACGGGGATCTCAATTCACCAATCTCCACCTATTTAAATAAAATACCTTTTACTAAATACAAACATTTCCATTTACTTTTTTATAAATATTTTATGTTTTATAATGAAACACCACAAAAACCCATAAACAATTATCCCCCCCAATTTCCAATAGCCTCTCCCAGAACCTATAAATGGTGTCTGGACCCCCAGGGTAGTATTTGTCCAAACACCCTGGAGAGGACACAGAAAAGACAGGTGAGTCACTTCAGATTAGCACTCCACACCTAACAGATTATGCACAAACATTTGCTCAGTTTTACCCACCAGTAGCTCATTGCTCTGAGTAACAATTATCCTCCCTTCACAGGCAACCAGCTCACTTCTCAATGAGGAGCAGCTGTGCAGAGAACAAAAGGCTACATGCTAATCACTAAAAATACTCAATACAATTAAAACTTCATGTGCAAATTATGTGCAAATCTCTGCTTAAAGTGCAGTGCTAAATTAAGTGCCTATTAATAAAGTGCAAAAAGTGTTTTTAAAGTGCTATACAGTGACTTAAGTAAAAATAGTCCCAGTACACATCATAAACAAAAACACAAAGTCATGCAACATAGAATCAACAATCAAAACATTGCATTAAGTGAAGTGGCATCACTAAATTCATAATTAAGTTTCAAATAAAACTCTAAACAGGTGGGTTTTTAGTCGAGATTTAAAGGCACTCAATGTTTCAGCTGTTTTACAGTTTTCTGGAAGTTTGTTCCAGATTTGTGGTGCATAGAAGCTGAATGCTGCTTCTCCTCATTTGGTTCTGGTTCTGGGGATGCAGAGCAGAGCAGTGTAGGGACTTTAAAACTGGTGTTTATGTGCTCTGTCTTTCTGGTTTTAGCAAGAACACAAGCAGCAGCGTTCTGGATCAGCTGCAGCTGTTTGACTTGTTGGGCAGACCTGTGAAGATGCTGTTGCAGTGATCAATGTGACTAAAGATACACACATCTATAGATCTCGTTGAGACATAAGTCCTCTGATCCTGGAGATGTTCTTCAGGTGATAGAAGGCCGACTTTTATGGTCAATGCCAGCCACCCTCTGCACACTGTCATCAGCAGCAAAGAAATCAGGTTCAGTAGGGGACTGCTTCTTCCAAAGTGCAGGATGACCAGACTTCCTTTGTCCCTCGTGCAATTAAACTCTTCAACTCCTCACTGGAGTTTGGAAGGAGGGCTAACAGGAGTGTAACAGAAACAGAGCATCTATAGTATTGGTATATTAGTGTATTTAAAAAAAACAAAAAAATATTTATTTGATGAATGGGTGCTGTGTGGGAGACAGGAACTGCAATTTTCCTGAGGGAAAGTCCTAAAGGGATTAATAAAGTGTCTGTGATTATTTCCCAGCCAGCATGCCTAGGTGGGCCCCATGTGGGGACAAGGAGGGCAGACTATATGGGTCCCATATGGGTTTGTCCGCGGGTTCCACGATGGCCCCACATGGGTTTGCCCATGTAGGGCCAGAGCCCACATGGGCCCTGCATGGGCCCTATATGGTGGTGGCCCACATGGGTTTTGTCCAATTAGGGCCCATGTAGCACCCATGTGGGCTGTGGCCCTACATGGGCAAACCCATGTGGGGCCATCGTGGAACCCGCGGACAAACCCATATGGGACCCATATAGTCTGCCCTCCTTGTCCCCACATGGGTCCCACCTAGGCATGCTGGCTGGGTTTCCCTCCTGTTCTCTCCTTTATCAACTCTACACTGATACAGCACTAAGCACATGCAGAGGTAATATGCATGTTTTTCCATATCCATTTGGAAAGCAGAAAGGAGCAAAATATTCAACTTTTGAAACCCTTTGTAAACCCCGTAAACAGATGCCTAAGTTCTGGAGTTTACTTAAATATTCTTGGCAGGGGGAAAGGTTCCAATATATTCTGAGTTTTAACTGACCTAAGTAAAGTTAAAACTAAGTAAAGTTCATCACAACTTCACCATTATAAGCATTGATAATCCCAGGAGTCCTTGAAATAGAACAATAGTTGTCTAATCTCTCAGTAGGAGCCTTTTTCAGCAGTCTGGTCAGAATAGTGAAATGTTTGTGTGTGAATAATTGTCATGTCCTCAACCTCCATTGCCTTGTTGGAGTCGACATTCAGATATACTCTCCAAAATGATCACACAGACAAGAGGGCTTACATTAACTCTTTACTCAAGCCAGTTGGAGTAGGGTAAAACTGATAAACATACAAAAGTTCAGAAATAATACACAGTAGCAAACAATACAGTACTTGAAAGTACAATAAATTTGCTCCAGAGAAAATATTTAGCTCAAGGCTATAAAGGTTCTTAAAAAATAAATACTGCTTTCTTACAAATGGCTAAATTATTCTTAATCAACAAAATATCCACTGCAAAATTGAATACATTACCAACAGTACTTTCAAAGACCGACTGAATCCCAGTTGCAGTGTTGCTGCGAGAAAACCATGCTTTGAATTCTCCTGCCTTGTCTGCTTTTAATGACATCATCAAAAACGGCAGACTCTAAAATGTAGTACCTAACTCCCGCCACTAGATGGCAACTACTGAACACTTTCATAGTATAAATCTGTGAAATGTCAACAAACTGACATACAATAATGATATTCATGGTCAGTTTCTTTATGCTACAATAATTATCTGCTGAACAAAGCTATTAGGGAAAATGAAACTGAACTGAAGTGAAAATTATATTCATTCCTAAAGTAATCTACCACAAATTAAAATTTTAATTAAAAATGAATTTAACTGAAATAATTTTGATTTTTTTTTTTCCTTGGAAAACATTCAGAGATGACAGTTGATGTAAACAGGTCCTATATTGTTTGTCCTTGTAACTGGAGTTCCATAAATAAACTGAACTATATGTTTTGTCTTTGTAGGAAGCTTTAAAAGCCGCCGCTCCTCTTACCTGCTGGCCATCACCACTGAGCGATCCAAGTCCTGCGATGAAGGACTCAACACTTACAGGGATGAGAGCCGAGTCTTCTCGTGAGTTGCAAACTTAAAAAACTGAGACACTACGAGTAAAAAGCCCATCTTCCTGAAACTAAGACTGGTAACCCCTACCTACATTTTTTTGTATCTTCAGGAAAGGGTATTGTATGCTACAATATGCTACTGACCAAGAAACATACATTATAGGGCCAAAAGTATTTGCTCACCCATACAAATGATCAGAATCAGGTGTTCCACTCACTTCCATGGCCACAGGTGTATAAACTGAAACATCTCAACATACAGACTGTTTTTACAAACATTTGTGAAAGAATGGCTCGCTCTCAGGAGCTCAGTGAATTCCAGTGTGGAACTGATAGGATGCCACCCAACAAATCCAGTGGTGAAATTTCCAGCCAACTGTCAGCTGTATTATAAGAAAATTATAAGGTGTTTGGGAAGGACATCAACTCAGCCAGAAAGTGGTAGGCCACATAAACTGACAGAGCGGGGACAGCGAAGCACATAGTGCAAAGAGGTCACCAACTGTCTGCAGTCAATCACTACAGACTGCCAAATGTCATGTGGACTTCAGATTAGCTCAAGAACAGTGCGCAGGGCTTCATGGAATGAGTTTCCATATTGGAGCAACTGCATCCAAGCCATACATCACCAAATGCAATGTAAAGCATTGGATGCAATGATGTAAAGCACGCCACCACTTTACTACAGAGCAGTGGAGGCGCATTCCCTGGAGTGATGAATCTGGCAATCTGATGGACGAGTCTGGTTGCCAGGAGAGTGGTAATTGTTTGACTGCATTTTGCCAAGTGAAAAGTTTGGTGGGGGAGGATTATGGTGTGGCGTTATTCTTCAGGAGCTGGGCTTTCCCCTTTGTTCCAATGACAGGAACTCTGAATGCTTCAGCATACCAAAACATTTAACAGTTTAGAACTGGCCCCTTCCTCTTCCAACATGACTGGACAGGTGCACAAAGCAAGGTCCATAAAGATATATATTGTAGAGTCTTGTGTGGATGAATTTGACTGCCTGTCGAGTTGAGTCCTAACCTGAACTCGATAGAAAACCTTTCAGAGGAACTAGAGTGGAGACTGAGTCTGGCCTTCTTTTCCAACATCAGTATGTGACCTCACAAATGCACTTCTGGAAGAATGGTCAAAAATCCCCATAAACTCTTGTAAACCTTGTAGACAGCCTTCTCAGAAGAGTTGCAGCTGCTCTAGCGGCAAAGGTGGCCCATCGTAATATTGAACCCTATGGATTAGAAATGGAATGTCACTTAAGCTCATATAAGAGTCAAGGCAGGTGAACTAATATTTTTGGCAATGTAGTTTATATGTCACAATATTTACATTATATTACATGAAAAATGTATATAATTTAGATATTACACAATAGTTTAAATTAATGAAAGTTGGGAAAGTGAAAGCTCCAAAAAGAACTACTAAACAGAAAATTTAACTGGTTACTGACCATCAACACTGATCTCTCACATGCAAGTTAATACTTACAAATATCTCAGCACAATGTAATGAAGCAAATTGGAATTTTAAATTCATAAGTGGCTCCTAAACTATGTGAACATCAAGCCATGAACTTACTGACTTCAAAATTAGAACATGTATAATCAACACTTGGAATTAACACTTGGAGAACTAAAACCAGAGGAAGTTTACCTATGCTGTAAAGATTATTATAACTTTATGCTTTATTACTTGTAACCATGAAAAACATTTCAATACCAAAGGGTGATGATAAACCATTTTACTGACACTGACCTGATCTCTGTGGTACCAGTTAAGTTCTTACCTTCACAGTGAAGGTGAAGGTAAGAACCATGATATTTATGATGTTGATTTTATCTACGATTTTAGTTGCACTGTGTAGCACTTTGATATTTTTTCTAATGAAAAGTGCGGTACAAATTAAATTAAATTATTATTATTATTATTATTATTATTATTATTATTATTATTATTATTTAGGGAGGTAATATTTAGGGATCCGTAATATCCCTAAATATTATGGATTAATATTTAGGTGAACTTTATTTTTATTTTATTTTATACTGATTTATCCTTAATTCAAAGTGTTTTTGTCTTTTATCTGTTGAACAGTAAATTGCCAAAAAGAGTCAAGAGCTTTTTCACTGATGGGGTGAGTTATTGTAACCACTTGTAATAATAACCAGGCCAGATGACAACATGAAAAACTCTTAACCTTCTCTACCTGTAATGTCAAGTCTTTGGACAGTTTGCGAGCCCAGGAGGACCCCCACTCGAAGCGCCACTCCACATCAGAGCTGGGTACCATCACCTTTAGTGACGTCCGGAAGGAAGGGTGGCTACAGTACAAACAGATCCTCACAGAGAAGGGAAAGGTAAAGGTCCGTCTATTTTCAGGCAATTTGTTTTTTCAATGAAAATAAAAAATGAAAAAACAAAAATACTTTTTTTTTTGTTTATTAAATCAACATCAGAAATTGGATAAAGGTTCGGTTCAGCTCATTATCCGATTTCTTATTTAGTGCACTATAAGAAAATGGAAAAAAACGAGCGCTCAATTTCAATTTTTATGATTTCCTTTTTGATAAGTGGTCTGACCCGGAAGTTCTCTCTGCCTGGCTCACACAGGGTCCATCAGTGAAACGATCTTGATCATTTCAAGATCTTCTGTCGCATACTGTAGTATTTTCTGCCATCCGCAAGTTAGTTTAAGTAATGCTCATGTGAGAAACAAATAATACTGGACATGTGGCCACCTAGAAAAATGGTTAGCCTGAGTTTTTAGTTTAGCTTTTTTTTATTTTGAAAGGCCAGAGCACAGGGGCATGAATTAACACACCAGCCTGCAGCCATATCTCTGTCATCTCTGGACCAGCAGCATGGCCTCTGTTTCACTTTGCCACCAGCAGTGGTAAATAGAGATAAAAAAAGTTTTTCTCAACTTTTTGTTGACACAAAACATTGTTTAAAGATGTTTTTAGGCGAGAAAGTAGTCCTCATAGCTTCATCTATCCACCTAGTTCATCCAAAATTAGGCTTCTTTGAAATATGCTCTGGAGTTTTCGGAGAAGCATAGCTCTAACAGGGCCAAGCAGCTCCAAGTGGGCGGGTGGAGTGTGTCTTCCCTGCAAACTGCAGCCTGATGTGGTCAAGTCACCCTGTCGTATTCCGCTGCTTGTTATCTGTTTGTAGTGTCTCAATGAGTGTTATGAAGAGGTTAATGTGTTTGTCTGCTATGTGTTCCTTTTATTCTTTTCTGGAGAGTTTGATACTTCTGAAGATATGTTCTTCTAAACATTGTCACAGTGTTTTCTTCCAATTCCAGTTATAATATCCCCTTACTCATGGATTTTTTAAATTGTAAATTCATAATTTGTGTTTTGTTTGTGTGAAATATATTCTTCCCTTCAATTGGCTTCTTACGTGAAGTGTGAACATTTTTTATTGTTTCAGACAGGCAGCTCTTCAGGAGAGGCCACCGCTCCAACTCTGAATTTATAAGCAAAAAACATTAAAAGAATTAAAAATATTACATTTTTATCAACCTGTATCTAGCCAGTTGGTGCTTTATAACTGGATGATTTATTTACAATACTTTCTAGACACTTACCAAACTTATTTTCTCTTATCAGATTATAAACTCATGTCTTACAAAATAAACAGGAATAAAATGAATTCATAAAAATGTATTTATTAGTATGACAAACAAGCAGATATTCAGGCCATGTTATAGCATAGTGCAAGGGGGAGGAAGGATGAGCCACATGAGATTGTGATTGACAGCACTAAATTTCTCCTGCCACTGACTGGTTGTTTTTAGAGAGAACTGGGAGAAAGCAGAGGAAACAGATTTTTGACAGATTACCTCTCATACCAAAGCGACACAACATAATGACAGTTTTAAAAAATATGTGGGAAAAATATAACTATATAAAAGTTACATACTGCAGCTTTAATTTCACTTAGGAGAGGGCAGGTCAGGAGGGACGTGGGTTAGAGCTGCTGCTGAATGACTCGTATGTTAAGTGGTAAAAGGTACAGGGACAAGTTAAATATATGAATATGTTGGTAATTTTTTTCCTTAATTCATTAAATGCTAGTGAAATGGAGGCAAACAGTAGTCTGTAGCTAAGCTAACTATGCTGAATAGTTGATAATCTCATACAGTCTACTCACCTCTCTTGGAGAAAAACTGAGCTATAAATTGACACTCTTCCCTTTTTCTCTCTTTCCCTCTTTCCCTCTCTATTTTTTTTTGGAAAACCTGATTTTATAACTTTTCTTAGCACCATAGTAACTGCCACAATTGTTCATGTCTTCCACTGTCTGCTGATAACAGCATCACAGTGAAGCGCTCCAAGCAGGAATGAACCATTTCGTCCAAGGGGGGAGCGGGTTCAGGGCAAATATGGATGTGTGTTTTTTGATCTGGGAGTGGGAACATAAAATTTTTACTGCTAAAAACAATCTTTGAAACTACAATATGATTAATTTTGTAATTGACAGGGTCCCAATTTTTTTATTTTATTTCTATGGACAATAAATAAATTGTCGAGGGCCCCCTGTTGGTCGGGCCCCTAGAATTGTCATCACTTTTCCCCCATATACCGCGCCCCTGTGTCAAGGGTGACCCCACCTCTCACCCATTGACCGCTGGAGATGGGCACCAGCACCCCTTACAATCACAGTAGGGATAAGCGTGTTAGAAAATGGATGGATGGATGGATGGATGGATGGATGGATGGATGGATGGATGGATGGATGGATGGATGGATGGAGTTTAACTCTGCTCAACCCATGTTCTACAACACCTACTTTGATCATTTCTCTGTTGTTCTTACTGTAGAAGCTAGGAGGCAGCATGCGGCCTTGGAAACGTGTCTTCAGTGTGCTTCGCCATCACTCCCTTTTCCTTTACAAAGACAAGCGTGAAGCCGTGCTGCATGGCGCCGGGGCAGGTGGCAGCCAGGATGAACATCCACCAGTCAATATTCGAGGCTGCCTGATTGACATCGCGTACAGTGGAACCAAACGAAAGCACACCCTGAGACTGACCACGCAGGACTTCTGTGAGTACCTGCTGCAGGCTGAAGACCGGGACGACATGCTGGCGTGGATCAGGGTCATCAGAGAGAACAGCAAATCAGATAATGAGGTTAGAAGGAAATCTAGTCGGTGCACCACAGGTTTCACAAACATACCCTGAAATCATTTAGGTTGTCCTTCTTTTCTAGGAGATTGGACAAGTTCTAATCAACAAGAAGCTGAATGACTACAGGAAACACAGGTCAGCGTGCTCCATTATATTTAGCCAAAAGTCTTCCTCATCTATATTACATAATCAAGTCCCTCCAGGCTGGAAGCTTGTCACAAATTCTAATTTGATCTTCACTTTTTACCTGAAGCCTTAACCTCTATTGGAGTCATCTTTCTATCTGCTGGAAATGCAAGGTCACCATCATTTGGGGCACAAAATGTATTCAGCAACTCAGGCTGATAACAGCCTGATCCCTTCACATGGACACTTTGGAGAAGTGAAATGCAGGCAAAAACTATGACCATCAAACTTGCCAGAGAGGAGGAGCGTGACCGTTTGTGAAAAACCTTTTACGGAAGAGGAGGTGATTAGGCGGCGCAGCAGGTGATGAGTGAAGATTACTGATGGTCAATAAACAATAAAATAAATCTAGCAACAGGAAAGAAACTAAAGTGGACATAGCAATAAACCAAGAGAGGATAATACTAATCAGATGAAATTAAATGGGAATGAATGAAGAACAAAATGCAAGAATAAACTAAGAAAAAACTAAAGTAAATATAGAGGAATAAACTGGTATGGCAAGACCTTTCGATCAATAATTAATACAGAGACTGTATGGCAAGAATAAACAGACACTATTTCCAGATAAAAGGTAAAATAATATTGTTGAAGTGCCATGGGTTTGTTTAGACAACATCTAATACTGAGAATAAATATATCTTACAGACCATAACAGTAAAGAATTTATCACTTATTTATGTTTTTAATTAGATTTGATATATTTATTTCTTCAATATTATTTTTCATGTCAGTGTTAATGTCATGAGGCTGTTCAGTGACTCCATGACACTTTACATTTGACTCATTAGGATTTGATGAAGAACCAGATTTGTTCTTTGTAATTTCTGTTCAGTAAAACTATTAATCTATAAATCAATAGACAGGTCTATATAAAGATATAATCCATGTTTCTGTCTCATATTTGTGAGGCATTAAAAGGAACTTTTGTTTTTCCACTGAAAGCTCTGGTTTGCACAATAAATGCCATGTGGGTGAAGTTTTATGGATGATACTCTGATGTCCCATTCTCCTGAAGGCAGCACAGAGCTGCACCACCAGAAACCAACAGAAACACTGAAGAGAAGAGCTATGATTAATGTAGTTACAGTTCTATCCATGTTTTAATGCTCCAGAGCTCAGTCGTTTTGCAAATAGATCAAAGTTTAAACTGGCATGTTGTTCATCTTTTATCTGCTCATTTTGTGGAATATTTAACAAATAGAAAATGGCACAAAATAAGAATATTTTTTCCACTCTGATTGGCTGCTGTTAGGCCTACTGAATTTAACTTGAATGTTCATTGCATTTTTTGTAAACACCTGTGAAAATAATGTGTATTCCCATGGCTTTTTTGTTCTCTGGGAAATTATTTTTAATGATAAATACAGAAACAAGCATAAAAATCAAAACATCTACAATAGTGATAGTAATATTAATGATAAAATAACAGTCAGTGCAAAGTAGCCTACAAATTCTTTGGTGGGGGGCTGTGAGGGACCTGGATAAGGGCTAGGGGGGCGCTGGCACAAAAAAGGTTGAGAAACACTGCGTTTAAACCTAGCTTTGAGAACATTTCCGAAGATGTCATTTACTTTAGCTTTACCTTTGCAACTAGCTAAAAGAGATAGAGGGAAAAACACAGAATTATTTATTCTCAACAATACATATTTTGCTTTGGGTCTTATTCAATTACTCAGTGTGTTTAGACTGCATTCTGTAAGACGTCCATGCATTGAAATGAGGAATATTCTGAACTATTTTTATAAATATGCCGACTGGAAACTTACTTCCTCTTTTTTTTCAGGAAGCCTGCTGTTCCTCTTTCATGGCTTGACAACAATCTTTCTGCCTGACTATGATTTATGATTAAATACAAAAAGAACTAGAAATGCAAGCAGTTTTAATGGGTTCCTCGCCCGACCCATCAGGTCCTTCCCCATGCATTGCCCCCCCTGCGCAAAGCCTCCCCGCTTACACCTCACCATGCACTTCCCATCAGCCTCAGCATTGCTGGCGCTCTGTACGCGTTGACTGAGTCTGCAGTTTTTCAGGAGTTTTTTTGTCATGAAAAGTTTCAAATTCATGAATCCTGAAAATAAATGCACTGTTCCGCCTAATGTGAGCCAACATCCTGCATTGATGTGCGATTGTGTCTTGTATCACTCCTTTCAAAGGACTGGCCGATGTATTTTGAACAGGAATTAATGCCAGAAATGTGAAACTGAGACAAGACAAAGCACAGTAAAATACTTGGTATACAAAACATAAACATTACTTTATATAGATACAACGGCTTATGTGGTTCAGTTAATCTTTAATTTCCCCATAGATGAAGTTAGACAAATTCAGATATGTTATTGGCCAAGACAAATGTGGATTTAGATTCATTATTTGGCCAGATAGTTACTAAGCTATGGTGGGAATATGTTACTATATAAGAAAAAAAAAACAATAAACAAATCAAGAAAACACTGTAAATCAATGTACTGAAAAAGAACCATAATAAGTCACTGTAATAGGATACATGCAGGTAGCACTGCATTTATCCACTACATTTATTTAGATGTCCTAAATGCTTCATATGGACCAGATAATTGGATTTGGCGCTTTCGTGTGGTCAAAAAGAATTACTGCACTATGGTGTGAAGATGTTTCTCTACAAGAAAAATCAACAAATCACTAAACAAATTTATCAAAAAAAACTTTTAAGTCATTATATGATGATACATGCAGGCAGCACTGTGTTTATCCAAATCATACCACAACCTAAGAGATAGTATATGTGGCCAAATAGGAAGACTAAAAGTATGAGGACCAATAGGATATATAAAGCTGTAAATTAACAAAAGATGTGGTTATTCTGAGTTAAAATCTGCAGGCATCCAGCTTGTCTTTTGTAGTTCAATACATTTTGCACAATTTCCAATTCTTTTGCACATGGTTTCTGTCAGGTACACAAATAAACTTATAATCATTAGCAAAATCTGTACTATATACTCATTCATATTCTTCCACCAACTTAGAAACAGGTCAGCCCAATAATGAGCAAACTAAATTAGACAACTTAGTAGCTTAGATAAAGTAGACAATTAACCCTAACCCTTAAAGAATACTCGTATCTCCATAAATCTACCATTAAGTTCTCCCCACATTTATTATGTAAACATTCAATATCTTGTAAAGAATTAGCTAAATACAATAGAACTTGATCACTATTCATTTTAAACTACAAATAATAAAAAACACTTTAATGTTGTTTAATTACGGGTTGCCGCACACACACTTGAAGCTACCTTGAGCAGCTTTAAACCACCTGAAACTACTAAAAAGTCTGTTTAACTTCCTCACAGTCCTCATGCACTCAATTTCTGTGCTATCTCGCTCCTCTGGAAAGTCCCAGATTTTTGAGGCTTTCTTCTTTTTCTTTTGTTTTTTATTGGCGGGATGGCAACCGACTTAAGGTGTGTTTACCCGACCTATCGGACTGGAGTGTGGTCATTAATGATATTCAGAGGGAATTTAATAATACACACCTCAATGGTGTGCATGAGTGTGTAAATTCACACCCATACACACTCATAAATACATGTATGTATATGTATGTACACATATACACACACATCCAGACAGACACATACATATATACTTTTAAAATACGGTTAAATAACCTAGTTTAAAAACAAAATCTAATTAAATGATTTCTAACAGGTTGACCCATTTCCTAAAAGATTTATTGTAGAAAATCATTTTTCTTCTCTATTCAGTATTGACTTTAGATGCTGGCGTTCCTCTGAATACTTATTGCATTCTAATAAGACATGTTCCACTGTTTCTATCTGATTACAATAATTACAAGTCCCAGTTTCATGTTTCCCTATTTGAAAAAGAGAACTATTAAGTCCCATATGATCAATTCTAAGTCGAGATATGGTTACTCCTTTTTTCCGCCTTCTATTCATACAACTATTAAAACATTTTAATTTATATAAATGTTTGCCAATAACATGTTTATCCCATTGTTTCTGCCAAACCTGAAGGATTTTATTTTGAATAATAGATTTCCCCTCACTTTTGCTTAAAGGAATACTTAAGTTAATATCCAGTTTCAAGGCCTAGTAAGCCAATGTATATTTAGTTCTTTATTTTCCTCTATACCTACATGTGCAGGAATCCAGACAAATCAAAGAAGACATTTCATTATGTAGCTGAACTAATAGTGATATATACTTATTAATAAATCTAATCTACAAGATTTTCCAGATTTTATACTTAATAATGCAGCTTGACTATCTGATGCAAATCCTTAATGTCAAGGATTTGTTTCCTTAACATTATCATCAAGCAACCATTCCAAAAGTTATATAATGCCAGATAATTTGACTGTATAAACTGCTAGATAATATAATGTTCTCCTTTTAGTCATGACTTTATGGTGTGGGATATTTACAGCTGCCCCTGTTCTGCCACTATTTTGATCTTTAGACCCATCTGTATATATAACTATGCTATCTTTAAATCTTTAAAAATAATTTTTAACTATAACCCATTCTGGAGTCTTTCCTTTTAAAAAAAATGTTCCCAATTGCAAACCAACTATTGGATTGCCATTTGTGATTGCTGTTTCTAACATGTGAGGTTTTGATCAAGATAGTCACAATTACATCTTCAAGTAAGTGGGATAAAATTTTTATCTTGTGTGGGTCAGTGCACCAATTGCAGTTTTCTCACAGATTACTGATTTTGATTTTAGCCAATACTATTTATTTTTAAATGTCACTAAATGTAGCAAAAAAAGTTGTTGAGTTGGTAATAGTGGGGTGACTATCATTAAACTGCACACATAGAGACGTGTGTAGTTACACTTTGACTCTACAGTGAGAGTCAAACCTCTCTCACTGTAGAGCAGAAGAGGACAGTGGCTGATTTTTATACCTTTGCTGAGTTAGAAAAGATCGGGATAAGATCCGCTTCACATGTGAATATCGGTTGATCACCAATCTCAAAAAATTAAGGAAATCAGCACCGATAAAAAGGCTCGATTTTGCGATGGTAGTAAAAATATTGTAGAGGTTGTAAAATTGGAAGTAAAATGTAGTAAATTCAACTCTAGGATTCCTGTATAAACCCTGGGTATGTGCAAAGTTTGGTGAGAGTCCGATCAGCGGCTTTTGCATAGCAAATTTTGCAATTTTACAGCGCCACCTAGTAGTGAGTGTTGATGAATACTAGATAGACATGATCGATATCGTGTTTGTAGTTGGTAATACGAAGGAAACTGAATTTTTTTACCTTTCCAAAATCATGGCCAAATAAATTTTGCACCTACATATGTACGTAGTAATGTTTAATTGGGCAAAAAATAAAAAATTCACTGCAAAAACACCCTCTTGTAGGTGTGAGTCCTCATCCCCTGAAAAGAGAACATTCTCTTCTGGGATGCAAAGATGCAAATCCTGCATCATCAGTAGTCACAAAAGACTCAGTATAATTGTAAAAACTCCACTTTTCTCAAAAGAGCTTACTGAGGAGGCTGTGACGTGTGATGTGCAAGCTGTCCAAAACTTTCTGGATGCATATGCACAACTCTCAGCAGACTCTGCTTGTCCAGCTTGTTGATGGTGAAACAGATGTCCTCAGTCTGGCATCTTTTGTTTATCTTTGCATGCAGGTTTCTTCTTACTAATGTAGCAAAAATAAGCCCTGCTATCTAACAGAACATAGAAAAGACTTGTTGATTTCCTGTTCGAAGTCACTCACTCAGTCATTTCTCATGGTTGTTGGATGATTGGTGTGCCCTGTAACAGTCTAATGGACATGTCGTGGTGTAACCAGGACCCCAGCAGAAACCTCATAGTTGGTAGCTCACAGAGTAGGTCAGAGCATTTCCATCAGGATTAGTTTTATTTCATTCAGATAAGGTTAGATGGAGACAAACTTGCTGTGGTGACCCCTAAAGGGAAAAATTGAACGGAAAAGAAGGCATTTCCTCTTTCATATAAATTTCTAGTTTCAACAGTGGAAATCCCACCAGATGTGTTGCAGGTGGTTCCTTTAGCTAAGTTTCCAGAAGAGACATTTCAGATGCCATCACATAGAATGACGCTGTGTGCTTTTGTCTCTGTCCTGTTTGTAGTCTGACAGGCAACAAGCCGGATTCCTCCCCCAGAGCCCATCGCATGGTGCCTGACTTCCTCCTGGCTAAAACAGACAATACTTCAGGGAACCGAACCTCAAGAGCTGGTGGGTGTCATGTCTCAAAAAGAAAACCAGAGGCAAAGCAGTGGCAGTTAGTAATTACCTGGGTTTTATTCAGTCTAAATACTTTGACAAAGTGTTGTAGGCCATGAGCTGTTATCCAGAAAGCAAAAATATTTGATGTAATATTTCTTTGTGTTTTCAGATGACAACAAGGCTCTGTGGGGTATCAACCTCATGAAGAAAACAAAGAAACCAGGCTGTCCGAAAGCCTTTGGGGTGAGACTGGAGGACTGCCAGCCAGCTGTTAACCATAAAGTAAGCCAAACAAGCATGCTGGAACAAAAATCAGCAGAATATTGCGAGTTAATAGTGTCCGTAGAATTGCAGGCCCAATTCGACTGTGGCTAAATGGGGAACTGTGGCTGTGTGGGTAGAGCAGTCGTCTTGCGATCGGAAGGTTGTAAGTTTGATTCCAGCTTCCTCCTGCCATGTCTCGATATGTCCTTGGGCAAGGGCAAGGCACTTAACCCCAAATTGCCTACCGATCTGCGTATCGGTGTATAAATGTCTGTATGTTTGCGAATGGGTGAATGTGACTCTAGTATAAAGTACTATGAGTGGTCAAAAATGATTGGAAAAAGCGCGCTATACAAGTTCAGTCCATTTACCATAATTGCCTTTCAGCATTACAATGGAAAGTAATTTGGTAATAATTATTCTCCTGTACTATTTACTATTGACAGAACTACTGATAGTTCAGGTCAACTTCAACAGGATAATGATTAAACCTTCAGGAGATTATTTACAAAACTGAGAAAAATGTGTTGTTAGTACATTGTGTTATTATGAATTAGTGGGTACATTCCTTAAAGTCAGACCAGGAGGACCAGGCAGCGTGGGAGGAGATTACTTCCTAAAAAGAGAACAAAGGTCAGAGACAACCGATCAGAACCTTCTAGAGTTATCACATCATCAACTGATGTCAATGTCAATTTTGGACAAATACATTGTAAAACTCACATGCAGTCTACAATTCACCATGTTTTGCCTTTATTTCCTGAGATATATGCAGTTCGTTTTTGGCAATTAATTTTCAAGCATAACTCTTAAAGAGTTCTACAGTTGGGAAGATTAAAGAGAGCAGGATACATTTTCAAACGCCACTCACTCAGTGACCACTCAGGACCTGTTAGGATTTCTATAAAGAAGGGAGATGACAAAGAGTAATTATTACTGCCTAATTAAGCTAAATTTAAAACTATTAAAGTAGTTACTTACTGAAGGTCAATAAGTGATAGTGAAGCAATTACTGTAAAATCAGCATGTCACATTAGTTAATGTGACATCCTGGTATTTTCAATAACTGGTATTGGTATACCAGCTACTGAAAATAATCTGTGCAATCACTATTTGACAACAGAGCAACAGGAAGAAAAATCCTTTTTAATATGTGGAGGGGACATTAATGTTGGTTAAGACCCAAAGAATAAACTAATACAAAGAGAATTGACACACCTTCCAAAATGTATTAGAGAATGGCAAATGCATGGATTTATATAAAAAATAGATTTTATTTACTATTCTGCAAGTCATAAAATAGACTATTTCCCTCTAAACATACAGGATAACTGTAGAGTACAAGAATGCAGCATTGGAACAGTAATGGAGAACTGTGCACTCAGATGAAAGACAGACTCTCTATGCCAGTGTTTCTCGCACTTTTTCAGGCTGAGGACAACTTGCCCCATTTAGTAAACACTCAAGCACTTTGAATTGCCTTGTTGCTGAAAACGTGCTATATAAATAAAATTACCCTTACCTTACCTTATTTGCAGACCACCTAATTTGAAATTAACCCTGCAATAACACCATCTTAATATATACTACCAGAAATTAAAATATTAATCTGTTAACTCATTTTATTTGTTCCTCCAAATGTGAAAGGTGTGTCTGTTTTTACAAATGTAACTGGCCACAATAAAAACAAGAATAAGTCTACTTAGGGTGTAGAATCTGAGTTATTTACAGATTCTGAATATGTGGATTGTAAGATTTACAATTATAGAAAATATATGGAAGTCAAAAAAGTTCTTTACTACAAGTGTGTGCGCTAACATTTTAGGGCTATTTGAAATTTACAGTATGAGTTGCTTTGGCAAAACGAACATTTTCTTTTATCCAGTAGATAGTCCGACATAATTTTATTTTAGGTGTTATGATGCAGTTAGTCAGTGCAACACTGTTCACAGCCTCGTCACCGTCTTATCACATTCAGCATTGCTGCAAACATAGATCTGGTGAATGCAACATGCTATCATACTAGTGTTCAAAAACAAAAGTTCCGCAACTCACCCAGAGAAACTTTCTACCAGTATCTTTAGGTTTTCTTTCCCAGTCTTAAGTCATTTATCTATTATTTTTAAACACAATTCTTTGTCAGGCTAGAGCTCATGTCTCAGCAAATAAATGGTTGTTTACATGCAGTACTTGGCAGACCCTGACACATGTCATGATGGAAAGTTTTCTTTAACATAAGCTTCACTAAATAATCAAATATCAACTTGGGAATGACATCAACAACTTCACAAAAGTGGAGAGTGATGCAACTCAGAAGCTTATTTACATTTGCTTTTTGAGTTTGTTACTGAAGGAAAAAGCCATTTACAATAAACTTCATTGAGACAGGCAGACATAGAGACTTGTGAACAGAGAAGATAATCTTTTTAAGATAATTTAAGGGATACACTTGAAACTGGTTGTGGTTCCAAGAAGTAGAGAGTTTTTCCTGTCCACAGTTTGTCCCTCTCATTGTTGAGATATGCTGCGGTGTGGTGGAGTCCTCTGGTCTGGAGTACACCGGGATCTACCGCGTGCCTGGGAACAACGCCATGGTGTCGAGTCTGCAGGAACACCTCAACAAGGGCCTAGACATCACCACTGCTGAAGAGGTTTGGAGAGCTCTCATTTTCTCAGACTTCTGATGGGTAACTGATTTGATTTGGATAATTCTGTCTCTTTTCATCTCTCTATAGAGATGGCAAGATCTGAATGTCATCAGCAGCCTGCTTAAATCATTCTTCAGAAAATTGCCGGAGCCTCTGTTCACTGACGGTGAGTCTGAGCATCCCCACCCTCATTCTTCACTGTGCAGACACATATACAGCGTGAAAGCAGCTGATGTCACTGAGTTTTTCACCTTTAAGAAGAGGATTGCTGTTTTTTGTACGCAGACAAATATAACAGCTTCATTGATGCCAACCGTATAGAAGATGCAGATGACAGACTGAAGACCATGAAAAAACTGGTGCGCTCTCAAGATATGGACATCTTTCCTTGTAAAATCTGCTGTGGTAAAACCTGATGATATTCCTAATATTCATCCCTGGGCTCGTTTCAGATCCATGACCTCCCAGATTATTATTACCATACCCTTAATTTCCTGGTGAGTCACTTGAAGATGGTGGCAGACCACTCTGAGAAGAACAAGGTGAGCTTAGTGCACCCTGACATCGACTGAGTGTTTCTACTCAAACCCACCATTTTGTCACTGATGGAGCTCTGGCTTTATTCCAGATGGAGCCAAGAAACCTGGCTCTGGTGTTTGGTCCCACTCTGGTGAGAACGTCAGAGGACAATATGATTGACATGGTCACCCACATGCCTGACCGTTATAAAATAGTGGAGACACTCATCCTTCATGTAAGAGTGACCTCCTAGAACCTCAGAACCTCCAGCAGAACCTTGACCTGCATTAAGATTGTGCTGGTCTGATTTTACAGCATGACTGGTTCTTCTGTGATGGTGAGCTGGATACGGAAAATACGGTGAGTTTGCCCCCCTGCAGGAAAATTCATAACAAGAAAATATATCCAGGTTTACATTTACTTTGAGGATGTGTGTGTTTGTAGGCCCCTGAGGGTAAGCGGGACATTCAACCTGTCCCTAACATCGATCACCTGCTGTCAAACATTGGCAGGCCGGGCATGCCTGGGGACGCTTCAGGTGAGGAGGACCAAGCAATCCAAGCTTCCTGTGCTTCATTTACAGCTTGTTTTCAGTTCACATTAGAAGCGGACAGACCATCTAATCTCAAACTGTCAAATACAGAGAGCGCTGAGACTTTAGAAGAAGCTTCCTTACAGGATCGCTTCATAAAGCAGGCATACCTGGTACCACACTGCAAAGACACAAAATCTGACCAAGTACTTTTGTCTACTTTCTAATGCAAGATTCTCTGCACACTTAAAATATGACAAAACTACCTTACAAGGATTTTTTTCAGTAAGACATAAGAACCTCTTTTAACTCAATAATTCCTTTATGTTGATGAAAATGTACTAGTTCCACTGGCAGATTTTTTTCACAGTAACCTTGGGAAGACCCCCTGATTACACCCCCCAGGGCAGACTCTGGGCTCCAACCAGTCTATCACTCAGGAAACAAATCTTAATGAGTGTGTTCCCTAACCATTTGATTAGAATATGGAGAACTTTGCTTTTAAAAAAAAACTGCTTAAAAAACTGTGTATTACATTATTGAAAATGTTTATGTCAGTAGATTATGTATTTCATAAACATTTATATTTGTTTCCCAACTCTGTCTGATCTGGTTTTGTTGTGGAGTTGGAGCTCTGTAAAACGTGAAGACTTATCCATCACACCAAATAGTGTGGGTAGTGTTTGAGGGTCTCACAGGTCTTCTCGGGTGCAGTAGACTCCACCTTCAGGTAGCAGTGGGTAGAGGTTTGTTGATGTTTTGGTTGGATGTCATGGCAGTGTTGAACTGGGCCTGAATGAAGCTTTGGAGCAGCTCATGGGACTATGAAGCAGGACTGACCTCACATGATTACATGGTTTTGCTCATGCTGGACTTGCAGAGGCGCCACTGTATGTTTCTTCCAACAACGTCTCCACATGGAAGCTGCACCTAACCAGCTAGGCAGTCAGCCACACCCAGGCCTGGTAGCAGGAGAACCTCGACAATCTGTCTGACTGCTGTGTTCCTTCAGACTATCATAGAAAAGTCCAGTGAGGAGGAAGGGGGGTGGTAGGGAGTTTAGTCACAGCAGAACCAGCTTCAGGCTTCATGGGGAGTGTGATCAGCTCACAGGGTTAGCTCCAGATCCAGCATGCTCAGGTTGCACAGCGTTCCCCTTCATGCTGCTCCTAATGATGAGGTGACAGAGTGCTGATCAGGATCCTTACCAGTGGAAGGCCCAAACTGATGGTAGAGACCAAGAAACCTCCATATGTCTGGGAATATTTGGTTCAACAAGATATAATAATGGAACATAGCAGAAGCACCATTGTGGCGTGAGCACAGTGGGTAGAACCTTAGTGGGGTGTAAAGAACATGGTGGGATCACAAGAGAACCACCTTGCAGTGTCATCATTCCCCTCACTCAAGAGCTGTTCCACATTTCTCCCAATCCAGCCACGTTTATACATCATGGAGAGGGCCTTTGGTCTAAAGAGGGATTAAGAGAAATCAATTAGCACTGTGTATAAGCTGAACTTAGAGGAGCATATACAGCACCCCAAAATCTGAATAAAATAAGTGCCCCCTGCAGTCTGGTTGATGTGCCAGCATGGTTCAGGGTCTTCATGTCTGCTCAGATGACCAGTGAAAGCTTGATGCTCCCAGATCTACTGCTAAAGTCAGTCAACATCCAGCATTTCAAACTTTCTCTCTCCTGAACCTTCTGCTCTCCTTTGCTCTAGCTCAGACCCTGGATCGCCCTCTTCGGTAGGACCAGGTCTTCAGACTACAGCATATGTTTGTGTGTGTGTGTGTGTGTGTGTGTGTGTGTGTGTGTGCGCGCGTGTGTGTGTGTGCAGTGCCCCTCTGTCACCATCTTGTTTTTTCTGCCATCATTTCTGTCTTTTTGTTGGACAACTCAAACCATTGTGTCAATAACCTCCAGGTGACTCATTAATAAAGATAAATAATCAGACACTAAGAGTTTTCCTGAAAGTTGGGTTGTAGACAATGATTGGTTATCATTTTAAATCACATTGCAAAACTTGGTTCTAACACACATCTTCCTTCTTCCTTTCTTTGGGTAGATTCCACCACCAGTGATTCAATTAAACTGAAGGTAAGCAGAAGGATTCTACTGCGATATTCATTTTTTTATATATTTTTTATTTTTTTTCTTTATATTGTTCTTGTTTCGTCTGTTTATCGACCATAATTGTGTCTAAATAAAGAGGATTGATTGATTAATTGATTGATTTTTTTTAATCTTCTGTAAATGAGGATGAAATGCCTGATTTCTGGACTGGGGATTCATCTTTTCAGATTTCTTCCACTTCCAAGAAAGATCTGAATGCCAGAGACTTCCTTCCCAAGTCCATCATCTCTGCTGTGACCCGCAAACGTAAAAAATGCCTCAGCACCCATCTAGTAGTCAGCAGCGGTGATGAGGACTCTGAGCATGAAATGGCCAAGAACACAAGCTACAGAGAGAGAGATGAAGGGGGAGATGGAAAGGGACTGCAAGAACTGGTCCAGGGGGAACACACCTGCTCCAAAAAAGAAAAGAGACATGGAGTGAAACATGTTCAGACATCTGAAGAGGGAAAAAGAGAAGAAGAAACAACTGTGAGGAAGGGAGCAGATGGAGGGGAAGGTTCTTTCCTCTGTTCTCATCAGAGCCACGGCAAATACCACAAACCTCCAGCAGCAACAAGCCCACCATCACATATCAAGATTCCAAGCGATGCCAAAGAACGTCCTAATGTTCCATTCTGGATCTCCCCCAGCTGCCCTCTCCCTCTGCAGACCTCCAGTTGCCTCAGAGAGTGGAGTCAGGCAGCCAGTACAGGCAGGCCTGCTAGGACCAGGGCCACCTCCATTAACCTGGAGCTGGGCAGGGGCCAGGAGATTGGCAGAGGTCAGAGATCAGATGGGGTAGAGGTGATCAGAGCTGGGGAAGTGCTAGCAGCTCAGTGTGGATTTCTTCAGCAGAGATCCATCACAGGAGGGTCAGCTCAACATCCCCTTCCTGCCTTCTCTTCTACTTCAGGATGGACTGATCAGCGATCCTCCTCTGTGGTGTTAAGGTCAGCTCCAGATTCTCAAGCCAGGAGGAGAGCATGGCGTCGCCACACTGTGGTCATTTAAGCCAACTTTTAATTCTACTAAAACAGAAAACTTTACTTGCCAACATCTGCCCAACTGTTTGTCTCTCAAACGTGATGGTGTGCCTCTTTACACATCCAGATCTCATGCCTCAAAACTCAGACTTTTATCAACTGTTAAAATGTTGTAAATATAACCTAATAACAGAATATCTTCATTTATTGAACAAACAGAATGCTAAAAATGTGTTTTAAAAACATCTATCTTAACTACTTACATAGGGAAGTGGAAAAACTGGCCTACTGATCACATGCAGTTATAAATTGTTCATCAGTGCAGCGAGCAGTTTTCTACAGCCGGAGGTTGATAGGCTGTTACTCCCCATCACAGCGCTTCTTACGATCAGGAGAGAGGAGAGGCCAAGCGGAACCACAGCCAAATCTCCCAACTCTGACCCACCAGGTAGTTTTCCAAATTTTTTGCCTTCCAGCCCTCAACTGTAGGTTTATTAATAATTAGATGGATCTGACCCAAACTTTTCTGCCAAGACAACTCCATCTCTGTACCCTTCTTCATGTCCTATGATTGTGCAGAGACCTGTTTTGTATTTGTTGTCTAAATCTTTCCTAACCTTTGTATATAAAACATATAATTTATTAAATTAATTGTTTTGGACATGATTTGGTCTACTGCTGTTTATATGGGAACTGAGAAGCAAGAGTGAAATGAAGGCTGTAATGTGTTTAAGATTAGTTGTTTCACAGGTTTCAGTTTGAGCTTTTTTCTTGGGTTATAGTGCATGTTGGGTTTGGAGTTAAATTATTTGCAGTCCTGAGCAGTATAAACCTAAGCGCCAACTCCACCAAAGGCAGCGGTGGTACCCCCCTATACCGTGCCCCTGGTAAGGCTGGTGGATGACTTTAATTTTATGTAAGCATTGTGATTGGTTAAGGCAGTGGTCCCCAACCTTTTTATTACCACAGACCGGTCAAGACTTCACAATTTTGCTGCGGCCCGGATGGGGGGCCGGGGGGTGACCGTCAGATAAGGCTTCTGCATGTTGGTGTTCCCGGCCTGCTAAAGCCTTTTTTATTTTTTTTTTGCCCCAATTTTCCTTGATGACAATCTTACAGCGTCCTGCAGTGTGGGGTGCATTACGTCATGATGTGTTGAATATGCCCAATCTAACATGAGCATATTCATAGGTGTAATTCCTAGGGGGACCCACCCCCCAATCTTGGAAAAGTCTAGATTGGTCCCCCCCCACCCCAAAGAAATCACGAAAGAAACCCTTGTATTTAAACAATATCAATATAAAAAAGGCAATAGAAACAAAGAATGAAGTAAATCTGCCATTCACCTAAGAAAAAAAATAAGAATACATTTTTAAGTTCCCCCCATCATTATTATTAGAATGGTTCATTCCAAAGTGAAGGAGGAGAAACAGGCTCTGTTAGAGCCACTGAAGTAAGGAGCTAGCTGTTAGCTGTAGCTCTGCAGCACAAACAAAAAAAATCCTCCAGTAAGTAAATACGTAAAGCAAAAGACATTTTATTTACTTTCACTGCTCAATAGGAAGAAACGCATTAACAATAAACAGTTAGCTATTTCATTACTTTGGCTGAATCATGATAAACTGCCACCTTATGCCTTGGAAATCAAAGCTAGCTAAACTGCTACATTGCTTTCATTGATTTAGTTCCTTTTTCTGTCGAAGGTAGCCAATATTTAAATTATATTTAGGTCTCTCACTCTTACTTCAATAAGAAGAGTTTGAAATTGGAGGGAGCGGCTGAGCGTTAGCACTGGCCAACAGCTCTGTATGGGAGCCGAGAGCAGAGGGGCGACTGCAGCTGACAGTAAAAAAAATAAAGTATGCCTTTATTTCTTACCATCTTCAACGTAGAGCCTTTAAAACAACAAAATAAAATCTGAATATTTTTCTAGAAAACTGTGGTGCTGACGTTTAAGTTATGATACTTCCCAAACATTAAATTCCTACATCTTTATAGGTTTTAACATGGACACCCCCCCAAGAAATAAAAGTTTAAAGCAACTTAAGTTATAATTTAAATAACACATGACTTGTATTGAGATCCACTGCAATAAATCAATATTTATGAGGAATTTTATTCAGTGGAGTTACTCATTAAAACTGGCTTTTATTTAGAACCTAAAGTTTTTTGTAAAGGTGTAGCAGCAATTAGATTGATCAAACTCATATCTAAGCAACATTTGAATCTTAGTTTGACTTCTGTGGGTCTCGTGTTTTTTTTTACTGAGAAAAAAAGTGTTTTTTTTCTCAGTAAAAAAGTGTTTTTTACTGAGAGAAACACTTTTGCTATTCATTGCTACTTACTAGTCATTTTTGGTGGTGCAGCTTGAACATACAAAAAATAAAATTAAACTATATTTTACATTACATTTTAAGGTAAGGTAAGGTAATTTTATTTATATAGCACATTTTCAGCAACAAGGCAATTCAAAGTGCTTTACATGAGTTAAAAGGAAATGCAAACAAAAATAACAAACCAAAGGAAA